TCCGAATTCGTCATCGAATTTGGCGGTACACCGCCCACGTCCCCGTGATTGCGCGATGCGTTTCTTTCGCGTTGGCGGTGCACCGCCCGCGGCGCATGCTTCGCCCGAGTTTGTCATCGCATTTGGCGGCCCACCGCCCACGTCACCTTGATTGCGCGAGGTGTTTCTGCATTCGTTGGCGGTGCACCGCCTTCGGCGCACGTTTCATCATATACCGTTTGATTGGTCGCATTGGCGGCGCACCGCCCAGGAGGGGGGAGGAGGGGAGAGGGGGGAGGAGAGGATAGCAGAAGGAAGACGTGAAGGGCCATGCCATTTCCCTTCGCCACAATACGCTGCCCCTGTCCCACCGAGCGCTTCTGGAGGGGCCGCGGGGCGGGCGCCCCCCGACGCGCCGCGGCGCGATGGAGCGCGCCCAGGCTGCCCTGGGCGAGGCAGCCGCGGCGCTTGCAGCGGCGAGCGGGCCTTCCAGGGGCGCTGCAGAGCAGCTGCACTTCGGGAAGGTGCGCGCGCTCATCGAAGGCCAGAGGTGAGGCTCGGGTCAAAGATCCCGTACGGGCGAGAGGCCATCCGTTCCCCCTTCGAGGAGGTCCCCGCCTCCGTTCGGCGGAACGCCGCCCGCTCCCCCCTCCTCCCCGCCGTCTAACATTCCCCCGTCGTTTTGCAGGTGGACGGCCACGGAGAAAGGGCAGCTGCTGACCCAGCTCGGGCAGACGGGGTTCAGTCACGATTTGGTCGGCGCCGCGACCGAGTGGCTCTGCGGGAGGCGCACGAAGGCCAAAGGGCAAAGTTACGAGTGCTTCGTGGAGTTGCTTACTGCCTCCACGTGGCACGTGCTGCTGAGCCCAACCGAGTCGTTCGCTTCGAAATTTGTCATGTTGATGCGCCACTTGGAGCGCCTCGGGCTCCGGAACCCTTCCGAGCCGACGTTTGGCATGCTAGCCGCGTTCATGTTCCTGGCGTGCCAGCGATCAGGCATCGAGAAGAATTCGCCGACTCCGCAGCTCTTGGACGTGTACTTGCAGTTGGTGAAGACCACGTGGCGTTCCCCTGCCTACACAGCTGCTCGAGGCAAGGCGACCGAGTTTGTCGGCGCGCTCTCCCCCTCGGCGGCGCTGTTCCAGCAGGAGAGGCCGACGCTGTACGAGCAGGCGTTCGCCTCGGAGGGGCCCGTGCAGCCGACAATTGGGCTTCTCGAGACGCAGATCCTCGGGAAGCTCATCAGCTTGCGCGGCAACAGGAACGCAGCGCTCGGCGCCCAGGCAACGCCGCAGCGGGCGGCGTTGCCGCCGATCGCCTTCGCGCCTCTGCCGCCGCCTTCTCCGATGCAAAGCGTTGCGGTTGCAGCCGCGACGATTGCCGCGACGCCTCCCTTGGGAGCCGCGACGCCAGCGGCGTTGCCGTTGGGGGTGATCCCAACGCACAACACCCGCGGCGGGTGGCCGAACCCAGCGGCGGCCGCCCTCGTCTCGCAGCGCGGGCCGACGACTCCCACTCCAGCAGCTCCCGCGGGCAAGCCTGCCGCGATGTCGGGAGCGGCGCCTGCGGCCGCGGCCTCAAAGTTGGGCGGTGGCGCCAAGGTCAAGGCATCGGCCGTTGAC